CCAGGGTACCCATAGAAAAAGGGAATGGTAGTTCACTTCTGAGTATTCTCTATTAGGATAACTGTTTTGATGATGCATAATATGGTGACTTACTTCTTCTTGGAAATGGGGGGGTGCGCTAGGGGCCAATACCAACAATCTAATGTTATCTAAATCCTCCCTTGGCAACATGATCAAAACTAAAATAGGGCCACAAGCAGGGTGGATAAAAAGCAATGACTTTTTAAAAAAATCAAATTGATTTAAATAAATATAAAATTTTGAATGTGCAAAATTTTTGAAAAATTGGTTTTTAATTTAAATCATCTTTAAAAATCAATTTTAAATGAATTTAAATTGTGATTTAAATCAAATCGAGCCTGGAAGAAGCATGATAGAAATGTCTACATTTTTGCAGAGAATGCTGAACTAGGGAGGTTACAGTTTCTTTTTCTTTAATGAAGCAGGACCGGGGGAGAGGAAGAAAGAAAGTCCAAACATTCTAGTAACAATAAGCTACTGAGTACAGTACTAAGTACTGTGCTTATCATGAATCACAGGGTCCTAGGTTAGAAAAGAGAATGAGAAAATTAAGAGAAGAATGAATGAGCATGCAACGGCTCAAAGCAGCCTTCTCCAACCTTGTGTCCTATACATCAGGGGTCGTCAACCCCCGGTCCCCACCCCTGTGCCGGTCTGTGGGCTTACTGGAACTGGGCCACAGATACAGATCACCGCCCCCACGCACATACGCATGGTGGGCGTGTCATGCTCGCACAGTGGGCGTGTCGTGCCCGCGGTGGGCACGTGTCATGCTTGTGGGGGGTGCACGGAGCTCGCTCTCCCCAGCTGGTCCATGGCCCTAAAAAGGTTGGGGACCACTGCTATATATATATATTAGGCTAAAGATTCTGTTATCCTTAGCTTGTTCAGGATACCCAGGGGTGGAATGGGGTCAAATTTAAAGTCCAACATATCTGCAGCACAGCAAGCTGGGGAAGACTGAGTTGCAGAAGGCCTGATAGAAGCATTTATATTAGGACTTGAGGACTCAGTGCAACATTTTGTTGCAGCTCTTATTCGTGACTCCCTTCTGCCCTTTAAGATCAATGTGAAAGGCTGGCTTTGATTTCTTCCTTTACCTTGTTTGGGCTCTGAGAATGATAGACACTGCCAACTCCTCTGTGTCCCAACATAAAATCTCTAAAGCCAATCAATAGTCCTCTCTTAGCAACACTATACTTTCTCCAAATTAGAGCAATAAGAGCACAGAGCAGAGAGACATCCTTGGCGCTTCCCACACAACTGGCACAAAAACTCCCTTTGCCTGGAGACTTGCCCAAGTTAGGCCACTGCTGCAGCCATTTGCTATCTGCATTTAAACCAGTGAATGAGGCTTTAGTGTAGGTTTGTATCTGATTTTAACTGAATATTTATCCTCCTGATATCCATTTTATTTTGGGATGGAACAGAGTAGCAATAATAGGGGCTTTGGGACTTGGCTGCCCTGATGTTATACAGTTGTGGTTGCCAACATCCCTCCACTGTTTACACTGCTATGGCAAATGACAGCTGCAGTTCAGCAACATCAAGAGGGTCGTACGTTGCCCATCCTCATTTTGCCTTCAGGTATGTCAAGTGTTCTGTAGCTCTGTGCACATTATCTCACTGGTCCTTGAAATATCACATATCCATATGCATAATACTCAGACTGAGAAAGCAGTGGTATGCCCAAGAAGAGAAGGAAGAATCATTGCTTACTGGGTAGAGTGCATGCTTTGCATGAAGAAGGTCACATAGGCTCAATGTTTACCATCTTCTGTTGAAAGGAGCAGTTAGCAATGTGAGGAAGACCTCAACCTGATACTCAGAAGAGGTGAGGTAGATTTCAAGGATCTGAGGTTGTCTCGTTGTTTGCTAACAAACTTTTAGGGAAATTGGACAAGGCTTCCAGGGAAAAACATTCTGTTCGATAGATGCGTGGTTTAGGTCTCTAGCAGCTGCAGAGCCAGAGGTTGAGAATCTGATTCACCATTTTACCTCCTTGACAGGGGCTGGACTTGATGATCCATAGAGTCCCTTCCAGGTTTGCAGTTTTAAGATGATTATTATCATTTCATATAATCTTCACATACTCCTCCCTCTTAACAGATTTTATGCAATTAAAGGCGAATCCTGGCTTAGAGAATGGTCCAGTTGACCATTCCTACTTCTTACTTTGAGTATGAAGGTACAGTTGCCTTCATACTCAAAGTAGGAAACAGGTGTGTTGTTTAGTTTTGTTCCTTGAAGAATCTGGTGTTTGGCTTGCCTTATTTGTGTAAGCCCTCTATCAGAGGATTCTTGGGATAAGGTTTATTTCTCAGTGTCCTGTGTCCCTTACCACTTAAGGCGACCCACCAATGAGATACCCACCTTTGACAGAACCCAGATCTTAAAGGTTAGTATTCTTTAACATCAGGACTTTTCTCCAACAAGATAAACAGTAAATATTAATATTCATCAACCTTGTTCAACAAGATTGGGAAAAACATTCAAACCAACGCCACCAGATGTGAAATCTGAACTCTGTACCTCTGATGTGAGTCCATTGACTGGAAAAGACCTGATGTTGGGAAAGAGTGAAGGCAAGAGGAAAAGGGGATGACAGAGGACAAGATGGATGGACAGCGTCACTGAAGCTACCAACATGAATTTGACCCAACTCCGGGAGGCAGTAGAAGACAGGAGGGCCTGGCATGCTCTGGTCCATGGGGTCACAACGAGTCGGACACAACTAAACAACAACAACTTTCAGGTAAATGTAGAAGATTGCAGCCTTCGTCCTTTAGCCATTCTGTTAAGAAGGGAAAGCACAGAAGGAAACCTGTTATCTTCTCTGAACACAAGGCACACCATACTGCCTCCTTGATCTGGTTTATGATGCTGCATTTTCCACAACACCTACTATTAGAAATGACAGCCAGCACACCCACTGAGGTAACTAAGCAAAGGAGAGCTGCCAATCCCTTGCCTTCCAGGTCACTCATTTAATAACTACCTGTCAGAGTGATGTTTGGAAAAGGAGCTTTTTCCTACCTCTGCTAATAAGGGAGGAGCTACCACGCCAGCCAAACTTCTTGGCCAAATGTCTCTCATTAAAAGCACACAAGATGCTTTGCTGGTAGTGGGGAAGGGAAAAGGGCAGTCCTCTGACAGAGGTTGCCAGATGTCCACTTATTTAAGAGTCTGTATTTCAGAGGATTGTCTACAGTTCGAGAATATGGCAAATCCCTATAGATTTGTAACAGATGAACCCCAGAGCCTGATCCGCCAGTGTTTCATCAAACGCCACAGAGCAGACAGCAAAAGTCTATGGCTTCTTATTGTTTTGCTTTAAAATGTTGATCTGACCACCCTAATTCTAATCTGCTCATTTTGGAATTAGGGTTTTAAGCTTCGGAGTGGAAGGCAGAGAGAACTAGATCAGCACAGCAGGTAAACAGAAAGTATTTCAGCAGGAAGGTTTCAGCAATCAAGTTTTTCCCAACTCAGCTTTCACAGGACACTTCATAAGGTGAAAAATGAAGTTCATTTGATCATAATTAGTAAAATTCTTTTCTGGTAAAAATGCAAGCAGTGGGAGCTGTCACTTTCATACATTGTACAAAGAAATGGAATGGGAAAACTATTAAATCACTACAGTATTCGTATAACTATGTATAGATACAAGAAAACCCACACACCAGGTTTGTGCTGTTCTCCCCCCATCTTTCGGAACAATCTTAATGCACAGGCATTCACAGTAATATTCTCCAGTCATACATGTCACACTTAAGTGGGATCCAATGGCTTGTTTGTTTATGGGAGAGAAACTGTTCCACATACTCAGTATTTCAGATCTTACTTTGAGATTTACAAATAATAAATCAACTCTCATGCATAAACTCTATGATCATTGCAGAAATAAGCATACATTAATTGCATTTTTCCTACCTGCTATTTGGGGAAAAAACACATACACAAGTCTGCCCTGAAACGACCTGCCTGAGTCATTTGCTTAAGTATCTAGGAGCAACGCTGCATCAGAGTTCCCCTGGGATCAAATGCCCTCCCACCACCATGTGGCACATGCTCGTGTGAATCAAGAAGCATGAAACATGATCTCTGCAGTGATTAACGCTTGAATCCTAAACACATTTAGTTGAAAGTAAAGCCCATTGAAGTCCAGGGAACTTCAAAGCAAACGATATATTGGTTTACACTGTAAGGGCAATGTAAAAGCAGGTAGGATATTGCTGTCTCTGTGAGGACAGGAAAGAGGAAGGATTTTTAAATGCACACACCCTTCAATGCTACACAAAATTTATGGAACATATGAACTTAAGACCTTTCATAGCTTTAAAGGGGAAAACAGACATATTCACTAAAGATGAACCTCCAGCTTTCAGAGGCAGTCTATCTGTGAATACTAGTAGCTGGAAACAATATTCAGAGACAGCAGGAGTAGGAAGCTTTCAATCCTCCAGATGGTGATGACTTCAGAGGCAGTCTATCTGTGAATACTAGTGGCTGGAAACAATATTCAGAACCAGCAGAAGCTTTCAATCCTCCAGATGCTGATGAACTATGACTCCCATTGTACTATCCTACACACTAGAATGACTAAGGATGATGGGATCTTGAGTGTAATAAGATTTGCAGAGCCAAAGGTTTGCTAGACCTGGGCTACTGCTTTCTGGTCTTGCTCCTGGTCATCCAACCAGCACCAGACTGGACACAGAATGATAGTGGGTTATGGGATGAGTATAGATCTGACTCAACAAGGATCTTCTCACATTCTAACGTACTGAAATTCAGACAGGAGGAATCATTCACGTGTGAATCACAGCAACTGTTGCGCCAGAGAAAAACACCTCTACCAGCTTGGGGAGGTGGTATAACTTCTGTTTATACAACCCTAGCCTCCTCTTTCCAGCCCAACCTCACAAACCCCTTTTACTTCTTTTCTCTGACTGGCCGGCCACATCTGCCCCGCTTACCTAGCTTGGAGAGCAGACTGGCCATGCACCACACGAAGAACAGGATCGCGCAGATGAAGCCGAGCTGTTGCAACAGCATCTCCCGCCTCTTGCGAACTTTCCTTAGCTTGGAGAGGGACGGCTTCGAGGGGGAGACCGGCTGCACTTCGAGACCCATCGCGATCCGGAGCTGCCTGGACACGCTCGGAGGGGCCCGTGAGCAAGATCCGTCCCCTCCGTGTCTTTGGAAGCGCAGTTCACTTGGAAGCGCTCCCCGCGGACGGTTTCATCTTCACGACCAAGGGGGAGACACGCATCAAGGGGAACGGGCAGCCGGGTGAGAAGAAAAGCTTCTCCGCCACCTTCCGAAGTGGCCGAGAAAGGCGCCCCGCAGCGGGTAGCGAACTGGTCCTGCCCGATCTCCGCTGGGGTTCAGGATCCCATTGCCGGTGCCAATGGGCAGCGAGCGCAAGGAACCGCCGCTGGCGCCGCCGCCGCCGCCCCCTTTCCGCAGGCCCGCCCTGGCACAAGCGCGGAAGGAGGCGAGAGCCAGGCGAGCGAGCAAGCCAGCAGCCACCGCCGACGCTAGAGGAGCGGCTGCCACCCCAGCATCCAGGAGCTCCCCTCCACAGAAGGAGGAGAAGAGGGGGTGTGTGCAAAGTGCCGCCCTTGCAAAAAAAAAAACAACCCGGCAGCTTTTGGAAGGAGAGGAAACGCGAGCGAGAGCGAGCAAAAGAAAGAGCGCGATCCAGGCGATCGATGGATCAGGCGAGGAGCAGCCGCAGAGCTCCGCGCAGCATCCCACTGGAAAGTTTCACATCCACCTGCCTTGCCTCTCCTCGCCGTGGCCGGGGGCTCGCCAAGCGGCAGCGGCAGAAGAGGAAGGGGAGGCAGCGGCCGCTAACCTCCTGCGCTTCATGGTCAGATAGGCGCCTTCTCGTTCCCTCCCGGCGGCTCTGCTTGGAGCCCCGAAGCGGGTGCCCCAGGGCCAGCAACCCACACTTTCCCCTGCTTATCGTTGTGAAAGGGGCGAAATTCCTATGGGGAGTCCTCTTGCCCCCTGACAATGCCGCCGCCGCCTCCTCCTCCTCTTCCAGCGGGTCTCGGCGCGCGGCGTCCCGGGCAACTTTCGCTCCGAAGCCCCTCGGTCCTCCTGCACGCCACTCCCCGCGCCTCTACTGCCGCCGGGCCAGCAGTGCGCATGCGGCTTTCCTTGGGCGCCGCAAGGTTCCCTCGGCGCCTTTCCCAGATCGCCACATATTGCCCTCGGCGATGTTGTTTTCCCGCGCTCGGCGCGACGCGGCCAACCGGGGGGGGGGGAGGGAGGGGGGGGACAGGATTAACTGACCAAACTAATCTTTTCCCCTAAATGGCGCGGGAATTATCCCTTCTTCATTTAGCACTTGGCAGGGTGGCGCCGTGAGGGGATGAAGCATGCGAGAGCATGTGCTTGAAGCTCCTGAGCCAGCCCCGTGTCACACTCGAGATCACACCCAGGCGACTTTCCTTTTTCCCCGACCCCGTCACCACTTCAGTTTACTGTATCTAAACATTTAAATAAAAAAATATAGAATTAAATTAAAAGTTTACATAAGTTTTTTTATAAAGTTAATATAAAAACATGATTAAATAAAAAATAAATAAAACTTAAGTTTTTAAAAGAAACAAAACAAAAAATCGGGCTCCTGCAAACGGTTTTAAATACAGTACTGCATTTTATTTAAATGATAAAAAGTCATGACGCTCCTTTAGGATGAACGAACTTTACCTGGCATACCTAAACTTTCATGGACTGCTCCAGTCCATTTCATCAGAGGCACAACAGAGATTTTTTTAAAAAAAAATCTATATGTACAGTATTATGAGGGATACACTACCATCAATAGTGTATCCCTCAGAAAATGTAAATACTATTTTTTTTCTGTAGAAAAGATTCTCAACAAAAATAAAAAACTAAAATGTACAGTATGTGTGATATATAGTATCAAACAATATTGGAACTCAGTCCACAAAAGAGAGTTGCAGCTTTAGCAGTAGTTTGAACAAAACATACTATCTGAACAAATGCATTGTGGTTTATATATGTATGCAACTATCCATCTGTCTGTTTTGCATTGAACACCATGGCATTTTCTGGCCATAACAGAATAGACTTAGCATTGTAGGTTTCTAAGTAGGGTTCCATGAACACCAGAAGCCACTGACAGTTTCCCAGAGGCCAAACCTATTGATGTTCACAGGATATGACTTCTGTTTTATTGTTTGCTTAATAAGAAAAATAACAAAAATGTTGGGGGGACATTTTATTTTCCCAACATATTACTTTGGCTGGGACAGAAAATTACACCAGTGATAATAAACTTTAGAGGAAGTAGAACAATTTTTTTATCCAGCCATTTTTGTTCTAAAACCTGTACATAGCAAGTGGCTTAAGCATGAGGACGTTACTTGTTTCAGGCAACAATGTTATAGAAGATTTACACTATACGATTCCATTCCCTATGGATTCTGCAATGAAAGGGAACTCTTGGACATCAAAATGTTCTGCTCTGGTGGTTGCAGCTTACCATAATTATCTAGAACTCATGTGAATAACTAAGGTTTCCTTCACTAGAGGACTACCTCTTTTTTATCATAATTATTTCTTCAGAATTAATAAGGACATCTTTTAGCAAGGCGAAGCATCTCATAAGTATTTTAAATGCCTTTGATTTGTTAGCATTAGGAACCTGAATAGTTGCTTCTATATTCAGAAGCATTACTCACATATAATGAACAATTTTTTTAAATAAAGAAGTTTTTTTATTTGATGCATTTGCGAAGGCTTTCACGGCCGGGATCTAATGGTTGTTGTGGGTTTTTCGGGCTCTTTGGCCGTGTTCTGAAGGTTGTTCTTCTGAACGTTTTGCCAGTCTTTTAGTCAACTCCCAAACAAACTGCACCAGAGCACAGTGTGCTACTCCTGTCCTCTGAAGATGCCCGCCGCAGAGACTGGCAAAACCAAGAAGTTTTTTTATTTGATGCATTTGCGAAGGCTTTCACGGCCGGGATCTAATGGTTGTTTTGGGTTTTTTGGGCTCTTTAGCCAGTATGTGCTTAAAGCCATCAAAGGCAAACAAAACAAGTTTCCTAAGTGTAAGGGTTGTTCTTCTGAACGTTTTGCCAGTCTTTTAGTCAACTCCCAAACAAACTGCACCAGAGCACAGAGTGCTACTCCTGTCCTCTGAAGATGCCCGCCGCAGAGACTGGCAAAACCTTCGGAAGAACAACCTTCAGAACACGGCCAAAGAGCCCAAAAAACCTACAACAACCTTTTTTTATTTGCTTACACTTAAGGGACTTTAAAGAATCCATCTTTTTTTTGGCCAGTATGTGCTTAAAGACATCAAAGGCAAACAAAACAAGTTTCTTAGGTGTAAGCATGGATTCCCAGTGAGGTGTATTGGATAGAAAGACAGACTAGGATTCTGAAGAAGAGAGTTCGAATCTCCACTTGGCCATGGCAACTCACTGGGAGAGTTGAGCTGCTAAAACCACTCCTGAAATATCTCACTTACCTTGAAAGCCCTATTAAGGTTGCTGTAAGTCGGTTCTGATTTGACAGCACAGAACACACAGAGACGCAAGTGTAAGCATGGAAGAGATCTTAAAGGATCTACTGGGAAATCCTAGGTAGGAAGAAGGCGAGGGGAACCAGATGATGTCAGGATCACTATGACTTTTAGGAGGGCATTAGCTGCAACTGTTTGTTTTTAAGCAGCTTATTGGTTATTTACTTAAAAAAGAGGTGAGGCAAATCACTGCATCCGGTGGAGCAGGGCATCTAATGGGTCCCAGTAAGACAAATACCTTTGTATTCAAGCCGTCCTTTGGCAGACTACTAGCGGCTGTTGAAGGAACTCTTAATGCCATTCTCTTCTACAGTGGACCCTCAACTTACAGACGGCTCTACTTACAGACTTTTCGAGTTACAGACTTCTCTGGCCATAAAATTTAGGTTCGACTTGCACCTGTAGAATCGACCTACAGACCAGAAAAAAAAAACGTTATGGCATTAATTGGTTATCAATGCATTGTAGGTCAATGGAGACTCGACCTACAGACTTTTCAACCTGCAGCCACCATTCCAATACGGATTAATTCTGTAAGTAGAGGGTCCACTGTACTTTTTTTTTAAAGGTACAGTATATACTTTTAAATTTGTTTTAAAATTTGTGGTTTTTAATATTATTAATTGCTTAATTCTGTTCTTATCTGTATCTTTTTTTCCCTCCCAAAATTGTGTGAGCTCCTTGAGTCCCATTTCAGGAAGAAAGTGAAGTGTGATGAACTGCTGGATAGATAGCTCAGTGATTTAGGTATCTGGCTGCAGAGGTTGGAAATTCAATTTCCCACTGTGCTGCCTTGAGAGAGGCTGGATTTGATGATCCAACGGGTCCCTTCCAGCTCTGAAATTATTATAAATAAACAAACAGATTATGGTTCTAAGATTCTTAAGGGAAGACATTTTTACTGCCTTTCCTATATTGTTTTAATAGTCCAAAATGGTCCTTTGATTTGTATTCCTGCATTGAGCAGAGATTTGAACTTGTTGGCCTTATAGGCCCCTTCCAAGTTCATGGTTCTATGATTCTGTGATTCTATATATATATAAAAAGAAATTCCATATTAGGAGCAGTCATTTATTTATTTAAAATATTTCTGAGTTGCCCCTCCACTCAGTGAGTGCTCAGTAGTCAGCGTGATTTACAATGAAATACAAACATTTCAACAAAAATAAAATATAATGCAAGAAATGTGCAAGAATAGAACAAAAGGAAACCTAAAATCATTAATGCAGATTTTCACACTATACATTGGAAAGCAAATATTAAATTCAGGTAGATGGGGATGGTTGTTAATAAGACTACAAAGCATATCTTATTCATGTTTAAGTCCTGTTGAGATCATACGGAATAAAGTTAGTCACAACTACATTCTGCCATTTACTACAGTGGGATTTTAGCCCAACTAACTTCTTTTGTTTGAAAAAGAAGCCTTGTGAAGAGTGCTTGAGAATGTTGGCTGTATTTAACCTGGAAAAGAGAAGATTAAGAAGCCATATGTTAGCCATCTTCAAATATTGCAAAGGCTGTTGCATGGGAACTGGAGCAAACTTATTTTCTGCAGCTTCACAGAGTAGGACCAGATCAAATTACAAGAAGGAAGATTTCAAAAAAGTACTAAGAAGAACTTAGTGATAGTAAGTGTTGTTCAGCATTGCAATAAACCACTGTTACAATTTCCATGGGGGGAAAAAACAAACACAGGCAGTCAGGAGTTCTGTGCTGTGCCAAGGAAATAAGTGTACTTGGCAGGTGAGTCCTAGCATGAGGTACAGCATCAATGCACACCATCAATCAGTACACATAGTACAGTAAACATGTACTACTAAATAGGTATAACTTCAGCTGGGTGACACTGCCAGATGCCATTTTGTGACTTGGCTTTGGATGTGTCCCCTTTTACTATTATGAGTGTCTTTGAAATAAAGACTATACTGTAGTTAGGGTTTATCTCTATGTCAACAGTTTAAAATGTAGCT